CTGACCACTAGGGCAGATGTCCACTGCCTCCATGGAGTGAATGTCAGTGTGTTCTATTGGTTTGGACTTGTGAGTGCAGGCTGCCACTATTCCCCTGTCTCCTGCAAATTGCAGACATTCCTTCCTCTACTATAGTTGACTTTACAAAGCACTGAATCCCAGGTTTAGTGTAGCTTACAGCAAAAAGCATAGCTTTTTTGATCATTGGAAACACCAAGGGAATTCATATTTCTATCTAAGTGAGTGTGGGCAAGTTACATTTTGGCAGTGAGTTTTATACCTGCAAAATGGGGGATGAGCAGTACTTTGCACGATGCTGGAGGTTTAAATGAGGTAATCAATGTACCTTCTTAATGATTTACAAGAATTCTCTCCTCATGACCTCCCTCAAACATCATATGCAAATGTTTTTCACGCATCCCTACATGGCCTGACGCAGGGATTTCTCCAAAGTGAGGGTTCATTTTCTTTGCCTGTCTATGGTAGTTTCTAAAGCTACATGAGTAGTAAAAGTACCAGCTGCATTTGAGAAAGATCATGGCAGATGGATTGCTTTTCCTAGAAAAAGTGCTAATTTCAGCAGTTAAAGGAGATACTATTGAGCTCTTGGTGATTCAATTGAATAGAGTGTGGAATCACTCAAAAAAAGAAAAGGTAGTTTGCAACTACACTGATTATCTCATCAGAAAAAATAGGGAATAAAGTACAATTAGGGAATAAAATAGTGTAAGAGAAATGTGTTCCATGAACATCCTTATTCTCCATCAATAAGTTAGGGCTATAGACAGTTGTGTTTGGGAGCTTGTCCTGTACCAGTTGGTGTGCAATGGATGCCTAAGTGACCCTTCAGTGACCAAGTTACATTTTGACCTAACAGTTATAGTATCATGTACACTAAATTTGCTATTAGGGCTTAGATAGAAAGTAGTGTTATGCTTGTGAGTCAAAATGGTACTTTAATGAATGCATTGGAAATGACCATCGAGGTCCTGTGGTGCAGTCCATACTTACAGATGAGTCTCCTGAGATTTGGATTGGTGAAAGGGCATCTAAATAATCTTGAGGATATGCAGAGTTATGAAGAGAACCAAAGTCAGGTGAAATGAAGCAGCTCCTGGTCTTGGCTTTCTGGGGAAGTGCTGTGCCTCCCACTTTAGACAAAATGCTCAGCCTCTTTGTGCTTCAGTTTCTGTATCACCACAGTGGGAACTTGTCTGCTTTCAGCACTGGGTGAGTGGGTTGAGGTACAAACAGAGCATTGGGTCCAAAATAGATTGATAGGAGAGCCTGTAAAGCACAAGCTCAGTTCAAGTCAAGGACCTTGGTGGTGTACCTGGCACTGTGTTTTCAGAATGTTGAACTTAAATGCCTGTAGGTGTGTCATTCTCTTTTTCTCCCACAGATTCCACTTACAGCCAGCCTGATCATCCCACTGGATATTCTCTTTTGGGAACACTTGTCACCTAAACACCTCTGCATAGGTACACCCAGCTTCACATGTGTGTGATGTGGGAAGTATCATTTTAGGAATACCTGGCAAAATCTAGCTCAGTGGTGCTGCCGCCTGCCTCACAAGTGTAAGGTCCCGAGTTCGATCCCTGGTACCAAAACAAACAAACAAAAAAAGCCTGACAGGTACCATCCTCTTTCCATCCTTCTTCCTTTTCACTAGTTAGCTTTCTGATGCCTATATTTCTTTTGTTCAGTTCCCTAGAAAATAAAAAATGTCCATTGGAGGGGAAAACAACATTTTGAACCTTTGCTGTGGTGTATAATTTAGGCATATAAATTTAGCAGATTAAATTTCTTAATATACTTAGCAGTATTAGGAGTTGAATCCAGGGTCTTTGCACCGAGTTACATCCCCAGTCTTTTTATAAGTTTTAAAAATTCATTTTGAGCAGGTTCTTGCTAAGCTGTCCAAGCTAGCCTTGATGTTTTGATCTTCCTGCCTTAGCCTGCCAGAGTGCTAGTCTTATAGGGGTGTACCACCACTCCTGGTTAGATTAAAAAAAAAAATTGAGGGAGGAGTTTGACAGCAGAATCTAAGATATTGGCTCCATATGTTGGAGTATGTGTAGGTAGGAGAGGGAAACTACTTAGTAGATAGAAGGAATAAAAATATTTGAAAAATTTGTAATTCTATAAAGTGGGGAAATAGTCTTGTTTGGAGAGTTAAATGAAATGATTGTGTAAGTGTCACAAATTGCATTTGACTCATTACCAAGGTCAATTTAGCAAGTTTCTTTACAAGTTCAGGTCACAGAGAGTGCTCCAGAGCCCAAAACATACAGGAGCAGAGGAAGGTCCAGCAATTTTCTTATCCCATTTCTTTGAGAACTGATGAAAATATGATCTCCAGTGCATTCTAGAATGATAGTGAAGTACTTAATGGTGAGGCAAAATTCTGATTTTCAAATATTCTTTCATGAACTTAAAAGCCAAAAGATGATAGTGAAGTACTTAACAGGGATGCAAAACTCTGATTTTCAAATATTCATTCATGAGCTTACTGAAAAGCCAAAGGAAATTCAAATCTTTAGGGCAAGTGTAAGGAACTTGAAATTTGTCTACACAGGCCAAGAAGAGTAAAAATTTCAACAGTTACCCAGATGAATAGATTCTAGAAAAGTTTGCTGGACCATTCAAAGGAGCATTTGTCTTCCTCCTGTCCTCTCCATGTCCCCTACCACCTAACTCCCAGTTTTCCACCAATATGATTTTTTTGTCTGCATTATGTGTACACATTTACCTAGACCCATCATTTCACTGTATACACATAGGCCTTGTCTACAGAAGGAAACTGATGCAAATTCTCTTTTCCTTTATCATGCAGCTCCAGCCAAAGGCAATATAAATGGTGCATTAATAATATTCAAGTGAGTTAGCTTGGAGTCATTACCTCTCAAATCCAGGCCTTTCTCTCAGGGGTATAAATTACTTAGAAGATTCTCTAGACCTCACTATAGACCTCTTCAGGTACACAGCATATTCTGTGTATCTCTAGATCGTATACATAATTAAATAATTCATTATTTCCTATTTCTCAGTGCTCATCCTTGAAGTTGAATAACACTTGCATGTTTTTTACTTGATTTCTGGATCAGTTGAGAGTGTCTATAAGCAAGACTGTATATTTGCAACTGATCTTGACAGTAACTATAAAGAGGCAGCATGCAGAGATGAGGATGGAGATGAATTGGAAAAGAGAGAAGCTCAGGTTTTAGAATGCTTAACTCATTTTATGCTCAGTTGTTGTCTTATTGCTAAGAAGCAGGCTGAGGAGAGTGTTCAGAGGGGATGCAATGCCCAGGGTTTCAATGGAAACATTTAAACATTTTAAATGAGTTGCGTTTTTCAACTTCAAGTAACATACAGTAAATGCACTCAGAATGACTAAATAAGACAAGCAAAATGATTTTTGAAAATTAACCCATTTATTGATTTCCTTCTAGAGAGCTAATTCCAAGGTGTCCATTTTATCCATGGCTACATACAATGATTGAATAGATTGAATACTTGTTAAATCTGTAAAAATCAGAGGTAGGATTTAAGAAATGATGTGCAGGGGTTCTACTGATCTTTTGACCATAACTTTTGGGGCCATGGAAAGAAAGGGTAGGAGACACTGTCAAGGGAGAAGGATAACAAGAGAGAGCAGCACTCCTTAGAAGGCAGAATATACTGGGCTGTAGCTGCAGACACGGATTTACATGACTTTGCCTCCTGAAACCACTGAGGCCATGTAAGAGTGATGTCACTCTCGAAAGCCATGTCTTAGCCACACTAATGCAGCTAAGCAACAGTGCAAACACAAAAAGGATTTTTGTTGAATTTGAAGTACATTGTGTTTTGTTTTCCCCTAATGCATATAGAGTCCTAGTCTTGTTTTTTTCTGGCTGTCACTAAGTTTGCTTGTGTTACCCAAATCTATACCTACTTTTGCAGTGGCGAGCGTTTGAGGCATGAATTGAGAGACTAAAGGGACTTGACTTTTATCACAGAAAGATCACATGTGGACACGTATGAGGTGACTGGACATAACTCTTGGGAAAAGTCAAATGCTGAATTTCTGAGTAATCAGAGGATATGAACGTTGCCATCCTGGCCACCAAAAAACAAGTGGAAGCTCCTTCATCTGCCCCAGCAGGCATGTTAGGCCCCAAGTGCTCAGACATTGGTGAGGGCAATGGAGATCCAGCAGGAAACATATAGGTTTTGCTGATGTCCTCTTCTTCCCTAAGCACATGTGGAGATTATCGTTTAGTGCTGCATTGTTTTCACTGACCGTTTCTCCCACAAACTCCTTTCTCTTGCACCTGGGTTCTCTGGTTTGGACAAGGGTAGAAGGTTGAAGGAAGGTTATCGTCATGCTGACGTGCCATAGGTGGTAGGCATATGTAACATCTTGGGTCTAGAGTGTTCACTGTGAGGATGACACCACCTGAACAATGATAGTTCCTATGTGAACTGATGAGACATGCTCCGGATTAGGTACTGACCAGCCTTCTTTAGGGTTTGAGTCACTTCTCTGAATTTCTTGGGGTAAAAATCATTTTCGGCAGGTCATCCATCTCATTTGGGTGTGTGGCCAGGTCATTTGTTTTCTGTATGCTTTCCACACACCCTTCTTGTGATGTCTTCACATGGAATCGTCTCAGAAGTGTCACCAGGACGACTTTCATCATCACCATGGCTATGTATTTTCCTGCACAGCTACGGGGCCCAAAGCCAAATGGCTGAAAATACCTGTAAGGAACCTAGAAAAATGATGAAAGAATTACCACACTGGGGAAGGCCAGAGTCTCGCAATACAGTGTCTGATTCACTCTGAAGACATTGGTCAGCCACAACAGTTAGTTTTGAGGTCTTAGCTACCCATGCTACCTCTTCACTGAGATGAAGGAGTCAGACAAAATATGCACTTTTCTCATCCAGAGATTAACCTCTGGTGATACAGACCCCAACCTCAGAGGCTCCACTTTTGTGTTTCTTGGTGAGCTGCAGTAAAGGGATGCAAATCAGCTTATTACAAATAATGTTAGGAAGCGAGGCCAGCTCTTAGAACAGCCAGTTGTATGACATCTTTGAAGTCACCAAGACAAAGTTTATTTTTATATCATGCTAAATAACCTGATGAAAATGGACAAATGCAGGCAAGACGTGGGCTTGTCAGTGCCACAGTATTTTTAGTTATCCTGAAAATTAATGAGTATCACATCTTTTTGTCATGTTCACAGTATCCCTGGAATATAGTAGTTGCTCATATATTTTTGTTGGTATACATGGCATTATCTGGATTGCCTCTGTAGAAACAGGCTAAATTAGCATAGCAGATTAATATTGTGTTTCTAGTCTGAACATACAATGAGGTGAAGAGAAAAACAGGACACTTAGGCTTAAAAATACTGTCACCTAAATCTTGACATAATGGAGGCACAATCTCCAATATTCATCAATGTTAGAAAAAAGTTGAAAATTCAAGACCACCAGAACAGCACTCCAAAAAATAGTCAGGGATATTCTAGAAAGAGACAGTAGAGTGAACCATGTCCAAAAATACAGCAAAGTGAATGTGTTAGGGTAAGTTGTTAAGCAGAAGGGGGGGGGGGAAGGAATTAGCTAGAGGAAAATAATGCAATGACAAGAATAAGTCAATACCTTCCAGTAATAACTCTCATTGTGAATGAACTCCACTTCATAATCAAAAGACACAGAATGGTAGACTGGATGAAAATGTGAAACTGAATGTTATGTTATATACAAGAAACACATTTAATCCAAAAAGAAATTTGAAGACTAAAAATCAAAGAATGGACAATATTCCATGTAATGTGAGCCTGAAAATAAGCAGGAGTAGATATCCTATTGCAAAGTGGTCTTCAAGCCAAAACTGTTCAGAAGAGGCAAAGGACACCACATATTGGTTAAGGAACAATTCAACAGGAAGAGACAACTGTCATAAACATATATACACCAAACACCAGAGCATGCAACTTCATAAAAAATTCTGCTGGATCTAAAAGATCAGATAAGCATCAATACAGTTATAGTGAGGAACCTCAGTACCCCACTATCACAAATAGACATATCAATTAGGATCTCAACAAAGAAATATCAGTGTTGAACCATACCTTCCAACAATGGATTTAATATCTACAGAGCATTCTACCCAACAAGAGAGTACACATTCTTCTCAGTAGCAGAGAACCAAATATTCTCCAAAATAGACCACACACTAGCACATGAAGCAGGCTTCAATAAATACAAAACAATCAAAATTATTCCATGTACATTTTCAGATCAAAGCTCAAAGAAACTAGATTACAGTGGCAAAAGAAACCATAGAAGCTATGCAGACACATGAAGGTTCAGCAATATACTTTTAAATAATCAATGGATCCCAGAAGAAACCAAGGAAGAATTTAGACAATTCCTAGACTCAAAGGATAATTCCAGTGCAACATATGAGTACCTATTGGATACAATTGAAAAAGGCCTAATAGGAAAGTTTATACTATAAATACCCACATCAGAAAAACAGAGCAAGCCCAAATAACTGAATGATGTATGCCCAAAGTCCTAGATAAACAAAAATCCAAATCCAATGCTAGTACAAGGACAGAAATTGTAAAGATCAGAGCAGAGATTAATGAAATCAAGACTACAAAAGATACAAAGAATCATTGAATCAAAGAGCTGGTTCTTTCAAAGAATAATCAAAATTGACAGACTCTTAACGAGTCTTACCCCCCAAAAAAGGGAAAGAAAATACCTATATCAGTGCAATAAGAAATGAAAAAGGTGAAATTACAAAGAACACCACCAAGATTCAGAAGCTTATAATTCACTACTTCAAAAAAAACCTGTACTCCAATATATTGAAGAATACAGAAGAAATAGATTCCTAGATACCTGTAAATTACCAAAATGAAGCAAAGAAGATATGAAAAGCTTGAATAATCCACTAGAAGGCAATGAAATTGAGGCAGTAATGAAAAAAAAACCTACCAAGTAAGAAAAGCTCAGAATTGAATGGATTCACAACTGATTCTATAAGAACTTCAGGGAAAATCTAATGCCACTTTTTCTCAAAATCTTCAATGAAATGGAAAGGGAAGGCATACTGACCAATTTATTCTTGGAAGCTAGCATTCATTATCTTGATTCCAAAAACCAGACATAGGCTCAACTGAAAAAGAAAGCCACAGGCCAATCTCCTTACTAATCATAGATGGACAAGTTCTCAAATAGATAACTGAAAACAAGAATACAACAAATCATTGAAAAGATCATACAGGCCTCTATCCCAGGCTCCTAGGGCAGAGAAGCTCAGCCGGTCCCAGCACCCAGAAGGAAGCTCCCCGCCTCCATCACAGGCTCCTAGGGCAGAGAAGCTGAGCTGGTCTCAGAACCAGAAGGAAGCTCCCCCGCTGCCATCCCAAGCTCCTAGGGCAGAGAAGCTGAGCCACGTGGGCTCCAGAAGCACCCCCTCCCATGGAAATGAGAAGACACGTAAACAAGTCTCAAAAACAGACTTCTGGATCACCTAGAGCAACCCCAAAGGGAAA